AATCATCATCGTTATCATTATCAGTATCATATTGTAAACATTATTATTATTGCATTCAGCACTCCATGAAAATTGTGAAAGATACAACAGCATTCTTAAACCCTGGACAAACACCTGTTATCTGCATGGACCAACCGCTATATGCCCTGGCCAAACAAATCCAGGGGGAAAACTCCAAAGACTATGGAGAGAATAAGTTTCTTGTGTAGATGGGGGCACTCCATATAGAGATGGCTGCTCTGAAAATGGTTGGACACTGGCTTAAAAACAGTGGATGGGATAGGTAAGTTATTTTCAAAATTTGCCTCAGGGCAAGGAGTGGCCATAGAGCTGGACTCCAATCATGGTCCCTTTAAATAGAATACTTATAAATAAGTCTTTCGGAAGTGTGCTGTTATTACTTTAAAAGATTCTCAAAAGAACCAATAATTTACAATATAATTTTAAGTTCTCTACGATGTTGTTGTAGATATGCCTTATTTGAAATATAAATTATTATTAGCCTTTACTTTCTTCTTTGGGTAGTGCTATTGTACAGGCTGATGTTACTACAAGTGGGAGAGCTGATGCAATTTTAAAAGCTTCGCATATTATACGTTCTCGGTATGTGCATCAAGTAAGTGCATGCGCCCTTAATGCACTACAAAGAAGACCTTACAATGAGTCCATGAGCAAAGCAGCTGAAGAGGAAAGACAGGATTACACGTCTTGGGTACAACATAAGAGACCTTTAGCATCAGGTTTTTTTCGATGTACCGCTAACCGCTGACGGCAGGATGTCATGTGACTCGTCTCTTGCCGTTCGGTTTGCCGTTCTCACCTGACACCTGTTCTCCGGTAAGTGATTTACGGCGTCGTTTTTATCCAAAAATAGCAAACAAAGTCACGTTTGAATGTATTTGCAAAGTAATTTAATGTCTAGAGATTATAAAAGTCATAGTTTCGACGTTTAATTCAAATAATTTTTTTGATTTAACTTATTGAGTGATATGTGAAAGCAAAAGTAAGCACGAGAATCAAACATGGCGGACTCGAAGTAGATCGACGCAGATTAAAAGATTTTTCGAAATAACAAGTGAATAGGTCGTTTTACTAATGTTTATTTTAACATACGCATATCGTATTTTGATTCTTTGTACTAAAATAGCTGACAAAAACATTTCTATCTACAAGGAATCACAATGCCATTTCGTTGGCCATTCATTGAGCACGATATAATGCTAGCGACTGAGGTTGCTGGAAGAAAACCAACCAGCCCAAAAGAATGGCAAGACATAGCAGACATTTTGAGTAAAGAGTTCTCAAAAGGAAGTAAAACAGTGGACTTGACAGGTCGTTCGTGTAGAGAACGATTGGATAGATTGATAACAAAACAAGGACGAAGACAAAAAGTCACTAAAGAGGTAAGCTTAAATTTGTGTTGTCAAAGTTAATGAAAAGCTTGTCGTAAAGGAATAAATATAATTGTCCAGGATTTGATCAAATGCAAACCCACTTCTGTAATAGAGTACTGAAACACTAAAAGTGTGCAACACAAATAGCACTAAATATGTTATGCTAATTATATGCTAATATTCATCTACTGAATACTTTACTAAGTCTATGCCGCTCTACACAAATGTGTATTGAGCACTGTTCGTCGGTGTTTACGATAAATCATCACTATTATTATTATTGTTATGCTAATTATATTGTTTTCTAATGTTTAGCTATCATTAGAATCAGGAGAAACAAAAAGGAGAAGAAATGAGAGAAGCTGCTCTCATAGCTATCAAGAA